ATCTTAAACATGATATAGGATCTGGAGTTTAAGGAAGAAACTTGAGTTGGGTACATAAAATTGTAATATCTCTGCATATTTTTCCCTATTGTTTTTTTGTCTGGGGGAGGGGAGAGAGTCAGAGAGGGTGCTGTTAGAATAGATTTAATAAAATTCTTTGTATTTTGACATGTCTTCTAATATCTTAGGTTTTTTTGCCATCATACAGTTCTATTGAAAGTTTGAGTTCTGATAATCAGTTCTCGGAGAGGCACATAAGAGAAGACATGATTTGTTCTGCAGGAGTGTAGTTTTCCTTATTCACATTCTGATCCTACAAAAGCTACATGGGTCGGGAATATCATCATGTTGATAGATCCAGACATGTACTCAGGCACCTGGTACATCTGCAGAGATTGCATTTCTGCACAAATCCACAGCTGACAGTATGTTCAAAACGCTGCTGGTGCTCTGACGTGTAGGAAATGTAAATGTACCAGTGGCAGCAGACCACAACTGTAGATCATGGAAGAAACAGGCTCTCAAAGTCCAGGTCTCACGTAAAGGAGAGCAATTGCTATTTAAAATTTTACTATCGAATGTTTTATCTGGGTTTTCAAACCACACAACATATGTGATTTATACAGTGCTGTTTTGCTATTTTTGAGTTTATGTAAATATAGTGGTGGGTGTAATACAACCTTAATACATAATTTTAAACCATTTTGTGCTCTTTTTAGCTAAGTGTGTTATAAGATGAAATGTGCATATATTATGTTTGTAGGAAATATGCTCTTAAGTAAAAAAAAAAGTGACTAAAGGAATAATTTGGCAATTGGGAGATAAATATTTCCAATATATTTTCTTTCACGAAAAACAAATGATTACATGACAGCACAGACTTTATATGTTCATTGCTTTCAACTATTAAGTACAGTCTTTAGATGAAGGAACCTTGTTTTAGTGTAATAGGATTTTCTTTATTGCTTGCTTGCTTTTTCTCTTGTCAAGATACCTCACAGTCTAATATTAAGTGCATGAGCTAAAATATAGCATTACAAAGGAAATCAATTCTTCTGAGACACAATTGTTAAACTCAGTGAGTAGAATATATTTGAGATATATGTACCTCTTAACAACATATTTTGAAAAGACATTTAAATATGGTGTTAAATAATTTAAATGTGAAGATGAGCAATATTTAAAGATGTCTCTAAAACTTATAAAAATGATACAAAAATATCTGGGATCCCTGTTAGTGACAATCACAGGCCCGACTGCTATGGTGTATTGCACCATATTTACAAAACATGCTGAAAATGAAGTTATACTTCTGTATATGTTATAACTATAGCTCACAAACCCTCTGAGTTCCATCTTGGTAAGAATTGATAAGAGTTCCTTTTTTAGAGTAGCACTAGACATTCATTGGTACTTCCAGGATGATCTCAAAAGACCTTGTAATCTAACCCAGACACATGCTAGCAGAGGAATGGCTAATACTTCTGAATGATTCTGCAAAATAACCTTTATTTTTCCAAAATAAGGATTTGTTTTTACAGGTTTTGTTACTGAAAATATTGAGAATTTTTAATTATTTTATTAGTTCATTTTAGTTATACATAATATTAGGGTTCATTTTGACATAATTTTACAAGCATGGAATATAATTGGCTTCAATTCAGTCCCTAGGGCTTTCTCTCCCTTCTCCCCCCGTTCCCCTTTCTCTAGTCTACTGATGTGTCTTCTATTTATTTATAGTTTTTAAATTAGTGCATTATGGTTATAAATAAAAGTGAAATTCACTAGACCAAGGTAAAGGGGAGAGGGAAAAAAAAAGAGTTAGAGGTGAATTCCATGAAAATAAAGAGTAATCAGTGGAGTAGAGGAAAGGGCTTGGGGTGGGGAATGATGGGAATAGGGAGGACCAATAACATGAATCTAACCTAACTTTCCTAGGCACATGTGTGAATATACCAAAATAAAGATTCTTAAAAGTTGTGGTATCAATCAAGATGTCTACAGGAACAGGAACTTGTTTAAATGAACCAATTTAAAAAAATGGGAGCAGTGAATAGTAACCTGGAGTACACAGGCTCTTTCTAAAGGAAATTATGTGTGTGTGTGTGTGTGTGTGTGTGTGTACATACCAAGCAAAATGTCTTGGTGTCTAGTAACTCCAAGTGCCACCAATTTCTAACTTTTGATAAAGTGTGGAAAATAGAAAAAAGGTTTATACATTTTATATTTTTGAAACTATTCACAGTATCATCTCGTATTTTCTACCTCCTATAACTCTATAGGTACACAGTATTTACCACTGTTTCACAGAACAGGAAAATAGATGAAGAACAATGTATGTCACACAGCTATCTAAAAATATTAGGCACACTGGTCAGTATTCCATATAAGAGCAAGTCATTGCTGAGCTCTTACATTTGAGACTTTGTGTGGGTGAGACACTTAAGAAAAAAAAAAGAGTCAAATTTAGCTCAGTGCATGAGTGAATAGTTAAACTTAACTTGCAAATGGATCCCTATATAATAATAAGCCCCTAAGTCCTGGATTTTCTACTCTGGCATTGTTATTAGTTCTCGTAAGGGAGGTGTTAGGTGTTGGCATCACTATTGGATGCTGGGATGTGTATTAAACTAAAAAGAATTCAATTAAGGAAATCTCAAGGCAGCCATTGGCACCATCCAGGGCAAGCACATCGAAATGTGTCTCTCCCATTTCCACTACATCCTGACATAAACTAAGACTAAAACCCATGTGTACATGGAAATAATCTTTTGACTAGAATGTTACTAGCCCAGCTTTATTAATATACTCTTTCAGAGAGTCCTGTGGCCTCTGATTCTCTGTTGACATCACTAAGGCTGTCATGTTTGTGCAGGTTAGTTCACTCTATGAGAGTTTTTTAAAATTAAACTTATATGATCCATTTTCTATACAAGAAAGAAGCTAACCTATGACAAAACTTAATTGTGTTTGAAATGTTTTATTATTACTTAGTGAAATGAAAATGAAAATTTAAAATATATCTTTAAACAGTGATACCAGTTAAATAACAATATCTCTAACTAATAGTATATTTTAAAAAGTGTTCTTACCACTGAAACAGATAAGTATGTGAGGTAATACATACATTAATAAGTTCATCTTAGCCACCCTCCTGTGCATATATATATTTTAAAACAATATGTACATAGTCAGCATATAAAATTTTTATTAGTTCATTTAAAATAAATAAAAAGAAATATTCAGTGTTATTTTTTACTTTTCGACAGGCACAAATTTATGACACACTTAATATATCATTTCTAATTCTTCATATCTTGTAGCTCATCCAAATTTTTCCAGTTTTCAATAGTTAAAATTAATTCTGTACTCTACCAATAAAACAAGTTAATTTTTACAGAGAAATCTTTGGAATGTTTTAAATTTAAAATATGAAGCCTGTTCATGTTGTTATATGACATGAGTCATTTCTTCTTTCTTTATGTATTTCTAAGTTTGCACAGAAATCAAACATTACAATGAAAATTACACTTCCATTTAAAAGTTCTTAGAATTTATCACGTTTTCTCATTCTAGGAAAAAAGCATGGTTTTATTATTACTTTTTAATGGAGAAAAATGAAGCAGGGTAAAGGGCTAGGGGAGCTGAGAAAGGAGAGTGAGATGTCAGCAAAGAGGCAGAGGAAGCCCTTTGTCACAAGGTGACATTGGAGCAAAGATTGAAAGGGGCATCACTGACATAGGTGAAGACCAGCCCTGGAAAAGCTTCCATGAGAAGAGAAGTCAGAGACAGCAGCTTCGAAGCCAAATTATAAACACTTCCTGTCCATATCAAGCTTTGCAGAACTGAGAAAGTACTGAATAACTAAGATGTGATTCTCACAACTCAAGAAATTTAACTTGAACCAGGGGCAAATGTAAGAAATAAAAAAGAATTGCAAAACTATTCAAGATAAGTTCTCTTATATTAAAAAACAACAACAGCAACTATGCCTATTTTTTTAAAGAAATGCTTCCATTTAATGTACAGTATTAAAGGCAGAGTTTATATTATAGGATGCTAAAGCTTTCAGTATCTCTCCTCTTATAATTAAAAAGATATTAGCTATTTGCATTTAAATCTTTTGAAATGAACAGGATTAAAAGTATGCTTTGTCTATAATTTTATTTTTAAAACTAATTTGTATTTCCTTCTATGGTAACATATAAAAGGATTCTGTGCTTGTAAAATTACTTCTGACAAATCCTTCAGCTGACTCCAAAGCATTGAAACAGTAAGGCTACAGGAGGTGTAACATTTGTGAATTCTCTTTATACAATGCCATTATTGTCATATCTAAAACTTTTAAATGCATCCCTTCAATAAGTGCATTGGGGTTTTGCATCTTAATGCCATGGCATACCACTCAGCCTGCAGTTTCTTCTCTTGTGCACCAACAATTTCAACATCCTTCCAAATTTACTTGGTCTCCAATTGAAGAGCAACCTATTACTGACACATCTGTTAGATGGAATGTTTAGTCCTTCAAAATGTGGGATAGTCTGAAGAGTACAATATTGTAATATCAAACGAGCTGTGCTAAAAAAGACCATGTTACTGGATCAAAAAGAACACCAGCTTAGGAGAAAGAAGGCATTAATTATAGAACTGGCAAATAGTTGAATAGTTGTCCTAAAATAAACAGATGGAAATAAAAGGTGGACAGGGACAGACACATTTTAAGAAACATTGGTTACAGTTTAGCCCTCTTCAGGCATGTCGCCAATACTCTCAAGTGTGTTTCCAAAATAAAATAATTGAGAGCCAATGGACAGTCATCTGTTAAAACTCTCCAAATAACATTTGTACATTGGCTATTCTGCAAAACTCCATCTCTTTATTTAACAAATATTTGATGAATACAAGTGTAGGAAAGACAATTAGAAATTAATCTAACAACTCCTCTGCCCTCACAAGGCTTATGATCTAGTAAGAATATGCAAAAGTAAAAACAGTACAGAATGCTCACTTTGGCAGCATGCATTCTAAAATTGGAATGACACAGAAAAAATATGAGCATGGTCCCTGAGCAAGAATGACATGCAAATTCATGAAGTGTTCTATGCTTTTTAAAGCTTGGCATTCAAAAATATATATTCACACACACACACACACACACACACACACACACGCGGGTGCGTGCGCACACACAGAAAATGCAAGATGTGTTTTTATGCTGTCCACAAGAAAACCATTTTCCAATAAATTCTGAATTACATGCAAAATGGGGGGGAGTTACCATTTAGATAATAATAATAATAATAATAATAATAATAATAAAGGATTGCTTCAATGAAAGAGAAAGGAATTAGTAAATGTTGGTGAGGATGTAGAGAAACTGGAAGCCTCAAAATTTGCTGTTGCAAAGATAAAATAATTATATGACTTTGGAGAAATGGAAGTTCTCAAAAAGTTAAATACAAAGTTAGTGTATTACAGCTATTATATGTGATACATGCTAGAAAAATTGGAGCTTATATACGTGAAATATATAAATGTGTTATGCATAATATCCAAAAATGTGGAAACAGGACCAATTTCCATCTCCTGATGAGTGGATGAGCCAATGTGCTGCATTTGAATATGGTAGGCAGAATTACAGCCCTCCAAAAACCACAGTTCCTAATACCTGGGTCTTGTGACAGTGCTACCTTATGCAGTAAAGTTGAAGGCATCCAGAGGGGGATGATCGTATTCTGAAGATCAGAGTGGGCCCAGCGTAATCAAAAGAGGCCTTAAAATAGAAAAAAAAAGACACCAGAGACTCAGAAGACTCAGAGTGATTCAATGGGGACCTATCTGCTTTTGGTAGCTTTGAAGATGGAAGAAGACCAAGAGCCAAAGAGTATATGCAGACTCTTGAGGGGATAAAGTGGGGAGTGAGGAAAGGGATCCAATCCCTAAGTATGCAGAAAGGAACCCAGCCTGTCAAAACTTAGATTTTAGCCAGGTGAAACCTGTGTTGGGGTTCTAGCTCACAGACTATACACCAGTAAATATGCGGTTCAAAGCCACCAAGCTGGTAGGAATGTGATATAGCAGCAATCCCGAAACAAATGGATCACATAGTAAAGTACTGTGCAGCTGTGGAAGTAAATGAGAATTGACACATGCCATACATAGATAGCATGGGTGGATCTTGAGTACTTTGTGCAAAGGGTACTGGCACATACTGGACTGGACCATGGAACTCAGAAAATGAACATAGATCATTTTATGCCAGATGGAAAACGTACCATGGCACTGACTCAGCTCCAAAGGACAAACATGGACCAAGTCTAAGATGACTGTGAAACAAAACAAATCATCTTAGAAGTGAATTATAACCCATTGGATGAAATATGAGTCCATGAGTCCAGAAGGATAAAAATAAATGTGAGGAATCTAAGAGAATGGAGGAGGGGGGTACAAAGTTTTCTCTTAGAACTTAAATAATAAAGAAAGAAAGACGGCATGAGAAACTCAGTATTAGACAATCACTCTAGCGATAATTTTCCAGTGAGTATTATAAATAGAGGCCAAAATTAGTGTGTGAATTTTAAAAGAATATCCATACGAGATACTGAGTAATATTAAGATTGGATTAATTTTCTTCACTACAAACTAATAGTTGCCATCTTGTACAAGTGGTTAATTTCATAAGTAACCAAACAAATTGACATCATATGTGTACTGATGTGATATACTGAGAGAATTGTTTCTATGGTATTCTTGGTGGAGATGCATGATGCAAATCCAAATATAAGGAAGCAGTAGGTAAATATATTGAGGATCCTTTTGCAAAATAATTGGCCTACACTTTTCAAAAATGTCATTGGCAAGAAGGGCAAAAGACCAAGGAAGTATTGAAGAAAAGGGGGACAAAATAGACATTACAACCAAATGCAACATTTGATTCTGCACTGGATCTTTGAACTGAAGAAAGAGAAGCTGATATAAAATACACAAAAATACATTAATCCCTTGGAAGAACAGCACTCCTAATGATCTGATTACCCTGTATTAAGCCCCGCCTCTTAAAAATTCCACTGCTCTTCCAATATTGGGGGTCAAGCTTCTAATATATGAACCTGGGAACACATAAAAATTATACCTAATCCAAAAGAGTTGTCAGGAAGTCTTATAGATAAAATTTCTTCCTTCCTATCAGAAACAGGAAAGGGCATTTTTGTCCAAACAAACTGAATGCATGTCCCTGATTTGATGGAATCATTTCATCACTAGATGATTTTCATTGTGTTAATAATGTCGCCAGAGGAACGGACAGGGGCTATTGGCCTAGGTCACAGCTCAAGAGAGCAAGTCAATCTCTCCAGAATAACATGATCTTCCCAAAAGAGAATTAGGAGAAATTGATCAAGGGTAAAATCAACAGAAGTTATGCTATGTTTGAATATCCATTTCACATCCAGGTTATAATATTTTATTAATGGGATTGTGAATAACCTAGAATATGCAAGAAATAGTGGACTTTATCTAATAATATCAAGTGAAACAATGCAAATGAAAGGAAATGCACAGGCACTGGGCCCATATTGCATGAGTTACACAATCTCAAGTTATAAATCACCAGCTGCTGTTGTGGCCAATACTTCTGCCAATACTTACTCAGTATTATCTGGTCATTATGGAGCAAAGAATATTTGGTTTACTCTTAAATTCAAGGGAGAGACAATTTTGCTTAACATGATCAATTTTCTGTTCTATTTTTCCACAGCTAGTGTTTTTAGCTGCAGTAAATTTTTCCTTTTAATTTTAAACTTTTAATTTCTTTTCAATTTTAGAGAAAAAGATTCCCAACTTACCAAACTGTTTTTTTATTCCCCACTTTGTTTACTTAAATGCAGACACTTTTAAGTAAGAGGACTGCCTCATATGTGTGAAACCAAATTCCATATGGTATTATGTAAAAATGTGGATGTGTAACCGATGTGATTCTGCAACTTGTATTTGGGGTAAAAAATGGGAGTTCATAACCCACTTGAATCAAATGTATGGAAGATGATATGTCATGAGCTTTGTAATGTTTTGAACAACCAATTAAACAAACAAAAAAAAGACTCCATTTAAAAATAATCCCATTAATTAGCCTATAATTGAATCACTATTTTTTCCATAATTGAAAAGTTAAGGTACGTAAAGAATCTATATGATCATTTAGATTCTTTTTAATAAGTTCTTATATGTGTAAAATTTAAGAGGTAGCTAGTGTTACTTGTTTTCTTTGTCATGTATGTTAATTTTAAAATTAACATACAATAAAAATTCATTTCATAAATAAATAATTCTATGAATTTTAATGTAGATAAGTACATGTCATATTTATCACCCTGCAGATACACAATTGTTCCAACTCTAAGAAACATCCCTTGTGTAATTATTTTGTAATCACATACTCCAACTCCAACTCTCGGCATCCACTGGATCTACTCTCTTTCCATATAGTTGTGTCATAAAAAGAAATGTCATATAAGTAGAATCATACCATAGACAGCTGTATGAGTTTCTGACAGCTGCTATAACAAATCACCACAACTTCAAAGCTAAAATAACATAAATTTATTATTGCATAGTTTCGGAAATAAAATTCAAAATTCAGTTTCACTGGGCTGAAATGAAGCTATTAGGAAAGGCTGTGTTCCTTTTAGAGACTATAGAGGAGTTTTTTTTTTTTTTTTTTTTTTTCCTTTTCCAAATTCATGGGGCTGTCTGCACTATGCAATTCCAATGATAACTCTTTGAAGTGGTCCCATAGGTCCCTGAGGTTCAGTTCACTGCTTGAAAACTCTTGTTTTCCTCTATTATTCTGGTTTGGTCATTTCTATTGATTTATCATAAATATCAAGGATTCTTTGTCCTTTATATTCTAGTAAACTATTGAGCTATTGAGAACACTAGTGATTCTTTTTCTCTTATTCTGGTTTTTCAATTCTAAATTTTCAATGTGGTTCCTCCTTATATCATCTGTGCCAAAACTTTCCATGCCAAAACTTTCCTTCTTTCCATTTGTTTGTAAAAGCCCACCTTTAGCTATTAGAGCACTTTTATTCTGGCTGTTTAAAGTCTTTGGAACATAATTCCAACACCTGTGTCCTGTCACCATTAGCATTTGTTTATTGTCTCCTCTTCAGGGTTTTGATATTTTTCGTATGCAACATAACAGTGGGTTATAATCTAGACATTTTTTGAATACCATGTTGATGGATTCTGGGTATTGCATGAATCCTATGGAGCATGCTGATATTTTTGTTTTGGCTAATGAGCAACATGTTTGAGTTAATTTGACAAGTTCAGTGAGCTTTCTCTATTGGTGTCCACTGGACCATCCATAGAGATATCCACATACTCTCTGTCCATGTGGCTTCCATATCAGTTCTTTTTTTCTAAGCCCTTGCTGGGCTGTCTTGTGTGTATACTACAAAGCATTTGGCTTGGGACCTAAGTCATGTATATTAAGTAATTAATATCTCAAGGTCTGTGCCTGTTCTTTAGGGTCAAATACAGGCCTGCTTACTTGTGGCTGAACGCCGTGAGCAAGTTTAAGACATTGCTTCTCCAAGTTCTTCCCTCTTGACTCCCTTACCAGTATGTTCAGGTTCTGTGGAGTCCTTTTCCATCTCCCTGTCAAAACACCAGAGCATCCATTCTCTGCTCTGTCTTGTCTACACCTGCATCTGGCTGTGGAAATACAGTCAGAAGGAAAGAAGCAGCAATGGCTTCTCCAACCCTTGAGACCATAGCTCCTCCTGTCAGACAGGAGCAGTCCCCTTCATGGGACCCTGTGCTGCTCTAGCTGCCTGGTCATCCCTGGACTTGGTGGGCTGGGGCCCAAGAGGAAGAGATAAAGAACACAGGAATTTCCTCTACTCTATCTGCAGTAAGATGCTCCCATTTCTGCTCCCTTGAGCCAGAACTGGAAGAATTCTTCCAGGGACACACTCGGTCCTTATTGATGGTGATTTATTGTCAAGATTTTCTGAGCTCCATGTGAGACAAAGTCTTCCCTAATCTACCTGTAGATACTATTTACACTTTAAAAATTTTGTGGTAAGATACACATGACATAAAAC